CTTTTCCACACCATACCCATCGTTGCCGAGCAATCTCAGAAGCAGAGTTCACGATAATTTCGGGTGTTTCAGATTATGAAGAAAATTGGAAGATAAGATGGAAAACAGTGCGATGAAGGCGAAGAAAGTGCGCGATTCGGCGTTTCCAAAGTAATAGAAGGCTTAGAAAAAATCGTTAAAAGGGCTTGGACGAGTGAAGACCAGAACAATGAGGAAAAAGGGATGTTTGGACGAGCTGTACAATGTGGGTCGTGTGGGTCCTGGTGCGAATAGCCGAATTAAATAAAGGATCACAGCAGCAAAAAGAATAATAGAGAAAAAAGAAAATAGGAAAAGAACATCGCCTCATTGCTCAGCGATCAGCTGATTGTGTTTGGGTCCTAGAGCGAATATTGCAATCTGCGTCACTTCGACACTCGTCTGATGCAGCATCGGTCGAGGGGCGGAGCATCCGGGCGATCCGACAACGGGGCTCCTCCTATGCCTTAGCTGTTGAGTTTTTGAACCCAACAGCTTTCTTTCTGTTACCCTTGGCGGGTCACTGGGTATTCGTAGAGAGAAAACTCAGAAACCATTTCTATCGTGAACTGCACATTCAAGGTAGACAAATAAGAACACGAATAAGTCCTAATTAAATCTGAACCAAGTACTGATCTCCTGTGTCTGATACAACCCGATTTCGTCTTCTCATTATTTGTCCCTGAATCCTTACCATGTATGTAGAGTGCTGTAGAAAAACAGGTTAATCAAACTTACATCTGATCAGGATTCTCGGTTGGCCACCACCTTGAATGTAGCTACTTGCATAAAACAAGCTTGTGATGACAAGAAGTACGCCCATTGTCACGAAAACCATGGCCGTGTCCCTATTACGATCCTTCTTCTCAGCACATTGCCAGACGTCGTTCCACAAATGTATCGTGTCATTCATCTTAATATTTAGACTTTATGGCAATATTCTAAGGAAGTAACGATTCGCTCTAGAATTTTTTTTTTGATTAGAAAGAAGGGACATAATCGCAAGGAATTGGCTGAACCCGCTTGATCGAGAATGTTAGCGAAAGGAGATCAGCGTCATTAAATTAAGTTGGAAGTAAATCGGAATTAGAACTCAAGAACTCTGGTAACTTTGATATTTAGACTCATAGAGGCGAAGTTTGTGTTGATCGGTGACCAGATGAATATGGTAGCGCTCTCAATTGACGAAGGATGTTCAAGGAAATGAACGTACCGTGGTTTCAACATCTACACAGAATTCGACTCCGGGTTCAACGTAGATGGCCCAGTAGTAGGAGAACAGAGAGTTGAACTGTTTCTTACAATAGCCGCATATGGTACCATTTTGGAATAGATCATCATTGTAGTCAGTATAATTTACAACGCAATCTCGCCATCCGAACAGCTTTTCCTTAAAATAAAGTTTTATGACAGTAAACCATCTTTGAATGCGAGGCGAGGGTTGCAGACAGAACAAAGACACAGGGGAGTAAAGCTCAATTCGGGGAGAGGGCATTTGTCGGATGATATGCAGGCATTTCAAAATCAGAAAAGCGTTACGCTTTAACTTTTCAAAGGTCCGCACTAACTTAGCAGTATCGACTTTAAATACCAAATACCCTCGGAAGAGAGAAAGGATCACACAGATCTTCATTCTAATTTGTCAAAGGCAGCGGTCAAAAGAATAACAGATTAAAACTGTTATCATTAGACCTGTCTTGTACACGCCACGTATTCGGCTTACACTGGCAATCAAAGCAGGTTTTGTATATGTAACTATCCTGCACATGACATATGAAAGCTCATCGATGTTTGGAATAATATTCTCTCAAGACCTCGGACCATACGCCACAAAGAAGGCGTTGCGTGCCAACATTCTAATCGTTCTACAGAAGGTATAAATATGAATCAAAAAGAATTGTAAACAGTACAAACCTGGAAAAGCACAGTCTGGTTGGCGAAGTCCACTCTAGAGTCATTAGCCGTGAAATTCCAGCTTATAGTCAAACACGCTAGAATCAAGATCCATCATTACGACATCGTAGAACAGAAAATATTCCTTGGAAAACAAATAAACTTACAATCACATCTGGATTTGGCCCAAATACTCGACGTCAATGCTTCCGATATGTCGTGACCATAAGACAGAAGGTAATTGTCATATATAACCTGAGTACACGTTCGATTGTCCAGCGAAGAAATATTGTTCTGAAATGGAAACCTTCGCCGAAACGCTGAGCGTGAAGAGCCATTCAGCTCATGGATATACAACAAAGGTACTCACCAAATGCTTTGTTTCATATTCGACTTGCTTAAAAGCTATATAATGTTCCCAGCAGTTGGTGCAAACCTTTGGCGGAATCGACCAGTTAGTTGCGCATTGCACCATATTTGCTTGAACAACGGCAAACTTCTGAAATGAAAAAAATGGAAGACAAGTACAGAATAGTAAATGGTTTGAAAGATTGGCTTTGAAGTTTTACAGGCTCAATGGCGGCGAAGAGCAAGGGATGCTCCGGCAGGGTGAAAAAGGAAATTGGCGAAGCACTCTCATAATCGAACCGACCACCGAGCTTTAACCCACTTTTCCTCCACTCCAATATTGCCTACTGATTAATTAGCTTGATCTGGAAACTCACCTCAACATACTCCTGACATGGTCCGTCTACGTCCCATGGATCGGCATTTATAGGTGCATTATCAAGCACGGATTCGATAGTGGAGAAAAACTGGGTGATAATAAACAGACGGCAAAGGGAAGTCAACATTGGGGCTACAAATCCTCGTCAACTATCACCATCACCTAAATTATGCTGAGTTTACGAGCATTGTAATCGTGATCTATATGAATACGGCAACATTTATAACAACAATATCGTTGAAGCAGAAGCTAGATCAAAGAAACAACAGTATCTCACTTTCCGAGAATAACTTTACCAATCCCTAAATCGCAATCGAATAATCTTCTATTACGGACTTGAACTGGTAAATCAGGATACATACCCTTTTTGCCTGTTTGGAACAAGGAATTTTTACAAAGCCAGCAATTTGATATCCGACATAAGCACAAAACAGAGGAGCTATCGTGAAATGAGGTTCAAATGATTCATCAAATAATGTTGTCGCGTCCCTGTGCTCCAGTGACCAGCCGTGCTCTAGTCCGCATACGTACCGTATACGTGTCCTTTAATTTCATTTCGTGGTTGAAGAATTGGATCATGACCTTCATGGTCGGTTTTCTATGTTCACCACTAAGTAATAAGCTTTCTGTTCGGATCTGATGTGAGAATGAACCTCACATGGTAACCCATACAGGACGAAGGGATCCTGGTTGACATTCTGTGCTGTGTAGTCACAACTTTACCGAAAAGGCTTACCACATTGAGCTTAGTGGATTTGAGACCTTCTTAGTTTAGTAGGAACCCTTTATTCTGTAATCCATTTTTTCTCATTTGCGTACAGTCATTACTTAAAATTCCTGATTACCTAGTCCAATTGCTCTTTTTATCAGTGTTTCCTTCCGCACTTCGACTGTGTATTTATACAGTTGCCATCAAGAATAGATAAGGATTGTACATTCTTAGCGAATTAGTTTGGCTATTGCAGAGTGCTGTGAAAGGTCATTAATAAACTCGTCCAGTGCTTACCACGGAAGTTTGAAGGAGGTTTTATCATTAACAATGGCATCATGACTGGTTTGTTAACAAACTTTGTTAACAGTAACCCCTGCTTTACTTTGTGCATTATTCGTTATATCCACTTCCATTACATCTATTTCAAGTCACTAGGCATCTTGGGAAACCACTGAGCGAACGATTCTATGCAAGGAACCTTACCTGATGGCCATGTGGAGCATTTCTATGGCAATCAAATATTTGGCTTGGGGCCAGTAACGTATTTAGTGCCTCTTCTGCTAAAAAGTTGCACTAATGTTACCGTGTTGTTGGTTAGTTCTGACGTGGATCGGGCTGTTGATGAGTTAAAGTGCATGATGGGGAAATATCCAGGTGCTGTTTCACGTTCCTGCCACTCATCTTGCGTTTAGTTGTGAAATTTGTCTTTAGAGTAGATCCTAGGGCTCGTCAGCTTTTTGGGTTGGCGTTTTTGGGTTCGTTATTTGTGTTTAGGTCCTTTAGCCATCTTCGCTTGAAATTCGCTCTAAATCAAGTCACATATGGGTTTCATAGGTGCCAGGTATAAGAGGATTCGCTTCAGGATTTCCAAGACAAAGCAATGCATCGGGGGAATGCTCTCAGGCCATCTCTTCGTTGAGCCTCAACACCAACTGTGCGCCGATTTATCGATTTTCTTTCTCATGATTTACCCTTCTCCCTTCGAAAAGTGTCATATTTCCGCATTGTTAAAGCATAGTATTTGGTGGATGTTCAAGTTATTTCAAAGTTTTCAGTTTTTTCATTTTTCGTAGCATTACTTTGTCCTCTCTTCGTTTTTCATTCATTCATTCAGTCCAGGCAGTTGTTTGGTTAGCTGAGCAGAGAACGCACACTGAACATAGGCGCACCCTTATCACCCAACCGAGTTTTCTCTGATTCGGTTGAGAAACTTCTGTGGTCTTATCACCTAAGTTGGATAGCTCGTGATCAAAAATTGGGGCGATATAAGGTTTGATACAAGGTTTTGGTGAAAAAACTCGTGCATAAATGGCTCTTCTAAGTTTATTTTCCTTCTGTGCTTCCGATACATCGAGCATTTACCAGATTATTTCAACGAACTGTTGTCAGAGCCACGAAGTTGGCAAGTTCTTAAGGATTGAAAAGATGGTATTTGAATAGTTATGAGAGGGTCGAATATCAAGCAACAAAACGGAAATAGATAGCAGCTATATTTTCCCTCGGTTGTCAGCTACTTAATTCTATCTTCGTCGGCTGTTAAACAGTTGCCTCCTAGTATATTTCCCAAGTTGGTGGCGATTTTTTGGGGGGTACAGGAGAACGAGAATGAGTGCAAATTGATTACTAACTCGCCCTCAACTTTCTCGGCACCACTGAGTCTGTCGCACTATTTTCACTTTCACTATTTGCGGTTTGGTGTAAAAGAATGATTTCTCTTCCTGTATTCCAAAAATTACCTTCCGTGTTCTCATTATTTTGAACGGTTGCCAGATAAGGGCTGATTTCTAGCCATTCAGGGTTGTCTTTTCTATACCACTTTTCATTTTGCAGTTTTTTGAGTATGTAGTTCTTTTGAAATTGCAAAGTAGTGCAGCATTACTGCATCGGTTTCGTGAACAATTCTCGGCTTGTTTACTATGCATTTTGCTTTTACAGAATGTTGACTCGTTGTTTGCCTTTGGTGCAAGGCCAAACGGTCATGTATGCGAGTTGTGCGGCGCTAAGTACGTCGAAGCCGGCTGGCAAGCGCATGAAAACATTCGAGATTTACCGATGGAATCCAGAGAAGAAGGGCTCTAAACCAGAAATGCAGGTAATAAGGCATCGGGGAAGTGATTTTTTTGTCTCTGCAATAGAGCGTACAACTGATCAGCTCGTTCGAGATTTTGCTCGATTGGTAAATTGGACGGTTCGCGAAAAAGGGTGTGCTGCAAATGTGCAGAGGGATTGATCTCGGTGCTGTTTTTGAAGAGGGGTTTTCTCAAAACTTATCGATGGGCGCGCATATAATTTTCTCCGTTCATTTACATGTTCTCTACGCTTTCATTCAACGATTCGGCATAAGCTGCAAATTTAGCTACGAGGAAATTAAACTATAGTGTTGCATATAACTGCAGAGGGTGTTTTGGAGAGCGATTTAAGTTACATGAAGTTTGGCCGAAATATGACTGACTGATAATAGTCGATTTGTATCACTTCGCTCCTCCTCCGTCGATTTGTGCTACCGAAATTTTGATTTGTTTTTCCTGTAAAGCGTACTTCCCTCAAAATGGACTATTGTAAAAACTTTTGTACATTTGTGCCCTTTCATCGGAATATTCCTCCAGATGAACCCTTTGAGTAGAGCAGGGTGGGCTCGTCATTTGCTTTTAAGTCCTACCGATTGTCATCATTTATAGCAAAGCAAAAAGTAATTTCATTGTTGATTAATTTCTGTTTGAAATAGACAATTTTCAGAAATACGAAGTCGACTTGGATGATTGCGGTTCCATGGTTCTGGATGCGCTCTTGAAGATTAAAAGTGAACAAGACCCCACATTCACTTTCAGGAGGAGTTGTCGTGAAGGTTCGATTTATCCACTTTATTGAATAATTTAGTTTTTTCAAATATCAATTCTGGATTCTTCAATTCAAACATCAACAATAGTTGATGCCACAGAATTCCTGTTGTTGTTGTTCTTATTTCAACGCCTTTGTTCTTATAACCGTATTTCCTGAATATAATACTGCTCGTAGAACCAAGTGTTTCTCAATTGTAATGCGAGCTATTTATTTTGAAAACTCTGTAAGGAAGGGAAAAGGGAACATTATTTTGCGACTGTCACTAAGTTGGACAGGTGTTTATATTGGTGTCACTTATCTGTCCACTAGATATATCCAATTTTCTTCATGAGATTTTGGAGACGAGATATTAGATATCTTTCAGGGCAACTTTGAGAGTCATGCTGCGGCGCGACGTTTAAGAAATGGGTTTTTGCACGTGATGTTTTCTTCAAGGGAGTAGTCAAAGTTCATGGATGTTTGAAAAGTCTGACTGCGTGAAGCAATTTCAATCCGGGTTTGCTCAGATTGAGATTTGTGAAACTAGTAATGTATCGGTATGGGAATTTCAGATGATAATTTTCAGGAATTTGCGGCTCATGTGCTATGAACATAGCTGGAGAGAACAATTTGGCATGCACTCTAAAGATTGACACCGATCTAAGCAAGACCACCAAGATCTATCCTCTTCCTCATATGTATGTGATCAAGGTAAGGGCAAATAATTTTGCTATCTATTTATAGAATCGCGGGAAAGTGCCCGTAATCGAACAGGCTTAGAGTTTTTAGGACCTTGTCCCTGACTTGAGCTTGTTTTTCGAGCAATACAGATCTATCCAGCCATGGCTTCAGAAGAATGAAAAGTTAACTTTGGGAGAGAAGCAAATGTTCCAAAGTGCAAACGAACGTGCAAGGATTGTAAGTTTCGAATGTTTGTTCTCTTCATATCCGCGTAATATTGGCGAACCAATCGTTTTTATTAAAAGGATGGACTTTATGAATGCATCTTATGTGCATGTTGCTCTTCATCTTGTCCCTCATATTGGTGGAACGCGGACAAGTATTTGGGTCCAGCTGTGCTTATGCAGGCCTACAGGTGGGTCCATTCAGAAGTTTTTGTTAGCGCATCCACGGAGAAGTGGGAAGGGTAAAAGATGGGGTGCTCAAAGGTAGGAACATGGGGACCCATCCTAACGACTTGGTCGCAGTCCTTTAATGTTTTTGACATGAATGCTTATGAGAAAACATGTAAAGACAAGTTACTACTGGACCAGCTCAATTGTTCTTGTCTGGACACGTCTTGACAAAAGTTTACAAGTTCTAACAAGGAAATTGTTCAATGAAATATATGCTTATCGATCGACATGTTAGCGTGGAATTGGAAGTGAGGGTGTGCTGTCAGTCATTCTTCCCTGATGAGCGCTCGCAGAGTGGTGACCCGTTTTCCACCATTTCCGTGTTATTGTACATGGGACAGCTATTTTTGCCCCTACTGCTCACTGTTGGGTAAGTTTAGCAGTAGAACAACCATTTTGTAATTAAAGCTATGCTACAAGTCCAAAATAACCTAAGGTTTACGATTCATTTTACCTCTTTCTTTTTCACATACATGCCCGCTTCAGATGGATTGTTGATTCTCGAGATGATTATGCAAGAGACCGACTTGCTCGTATCCATGATGCTTACTCCGCATTCAAGTGCCACACCATAATGAATTGTACGAAGACCTGTCCGAAGGTAGTTTTTTCACTAGGCTTCCAAAGAGTCCGGTAAATGGCATTCCCGTCGAATAGTAGTGAATTGTTTCTCTTGTTCTTCAAACGTTTTGGACTTTATGAGTTCACATATAGATACTCCTTTCCAGCACTTGAACCCTGCGAGAGCGATTGGGGAAATCAAGTCGCTACTCACTGGCATGAAGAGCAAGCCAGCACCCGAGCCAGCGAAGTTTTGAGTAGCTGTCGATTAATATTGTTCATGTACTTTTTTGCCTAGTAATTTGAATCCCTGTGCCTGGTTTTTTGCAAACTTTATTGTAACAATGTTTCTACAATCAAGATTTCTCCACCATTTTGAAATATCATATACGTTATTCTTAGGTTATTCAACAGTGCCTCTGTGTCGGTGTTGGTAATTTACGGTTATTTTTAGTAGTTGTGTAGTCTCATAGGTGAAATAAATGTTGCGAAAACTCTTGTTTTTTTTTCGGTGGAGAGGGTTCATTGACCCTTAGATGAATACAAACAACATATACAAGTTAGGAATTGAAACTGGAAAAGCGGTTTTGAAAAGTTTTGTATCAGTTCCCACGTCATCAGCTCGCGCTTTGGTTGGGTTCTCCCTTTCACTGGTCAATAGCCATCAGGTTTCTCTTCATCTTTCTCAAAAGTGAGCTTGCCCAGCGAGTGCGAACAGTGGCCGCAAAGCGAGAATTAGAGCTCCGTTTGATCTGTTCTCGTTTTCTTTTACTTCTGCAGAGTAGGACTGCAAGAATTTCGCATGTGCCAAGTTTTACCACGGATGCTGATCAGTATGACAATTTTCTTAACGTGCTTTCTGTTTTACAGGATGTTGGCGCGAACCTTTCTAACAACTCGCAGTCATGCTCTTATGTATGCAAGTTGTGCTGCTTTGTCGACGTCGAAACCTGGTGAAGCAAGAATGAAGACATTTGAAATTTATCGTTACGATCCTGAAAGGAAGAGTAAACCCCAAATGAAGGTATGACGTTGGTAGCTTGAGCACGTCGGGATGCTGGTAGTAACTATTACAGCCATCTTACTTAGCTAAATAGAAGCTAGTGGAGTGATCGCGAGATGGGCGATCGCTTGCATGCATGCATGCACGTAGAAAACGTATGCTTTCTGCTTAGAACTATTTCAAAACCTAACCATTTCAGAGATACACAATTGACTTGGATACCTGTGGTCACATGATACTCGATGCTCTGATCAAGATCAAGGACGAACATGACAGCGGCCTCACCTTCAGAAGGAGTTGTCGTGAAGGTGAGAGCTGTGTATCTTATACCGCGCCTTTACCCTCTTCCAACATTGTTAGCCAGATCATTTTCAATGTGACGGAACACAAGTCTTGCTTGTATAAATACGTCTTACCAATCAGGTCTGGTTTCTTCAACGAGATGCGGGAGCTGAGAACTACTTTTCTAATTACGCATGTATCAACCTTCCCGTGTAGTAGCCTATTGCTATTGTCAAGGCTATTGTGTTCTAAAATTGATATTCTGGTTCCTGAGATGTATTCATGGAGGATCACATGTGACAGCCGTGTGGCTAATCGGTGACTAATGATATTCCACTCTATTCATGTTGAATCGAACCCAGTTTGATATCGGACATGGCCTTTTCGTAGGTAATTTCGCAGTTCAAAGTAAGAACAATGGTTGTTATGTTAGCATCGACTGAAAATATTGAGGAGGGGACATGTTTGGCGCATTCTTTGTTGGCGGTGTTCTGTGAGCTACGGCTTCGATGGTGTAAATCACAGCTTGTCAAATCACTAATGAGGAGTGCGCTGAACTTGTCAGAGCTGCCTCCACATTCATCGCTTTAAAGTAGTTGACCCTTACAGGTGAGAAGTTTTACAATGCAATCGTGTTAGTCGTTACGGATAAGATGCTTCGTTTTTTAAAGCACTTGAATTCTTCAGGAATCTGTGGATCATGTGGGATGAGCATTGGAGGAGAAAACACATTGGCTTGCATTTGTAGAATTGACAGTGACACGAGCAAGGTTACGAAGATCTACCCTCTTCCACACATGTACGTTATCAGGGTGAGTAGATGATATTTTTTACATTAATATCGAAAACATTGGTTGACGGATCTCCTTGAATGGCTACATTTTCAGGATCTTGTTGTCGACATGAACCTGTTCTATGAGCAGTACACCTCTATTAGTCCGTGGATTCATAAGAAGAAAGATCTCACGTTGGGCCAAAAGCAGTTCTTCCAGACTATAAAGGAGCGCGCTAAAGTTGTATGTTCACAACATTGCAGCGAGTCGTGAAAAGGCTACGTCTGTTACATTTATTCTATCGTAGGATGGGCTCTACGAATGCATCTTGTGCTTGTGTTGTTCCACATCGTGCCCGTCATACTGGTGGAATGCCGACAGATATCTGGGTCCAGCTGTTTTGATGCAAGCGTACAGGTATATTCTACTCCATAGGTTCTCGACAGCAACGACGAGCCACTTGACTAGTTCTAGAAGTCGGAAATTTCTCTCAACGTCCACTGAATTCTGGAAATGTTAAAGCGGAGCAATTTACTGCATGAGTTGAGGGGATGGGATAGAACCCACAACTTAGCTTGATTTCGCCTTTTCCTTGTAGACCTTGAATTCGAACGGTTGGTAATGTTACAGCTGTCATCAATTGCAGGGTCTGCTGATGAAGCTCTCTAAGATCTCTCTGCAATTCGGTAGTCACGATTTTGAAGTGCAGTATGCTGGATCACAGATGCATTAAGCAGCACTGTTAATATGACTTTTCTCCGTCTGTTCCGAACGAATTTTCAGTCTTGTTGTCTCCCGGTTTATGAACCGTCGAGCAGAACTACTGCTACTGACTTGATAAGCGTTCCCCTTTTCGTCCTGATTTCTGATGAAAAAGACTTCGTTGCAGATGGATCATCGACTCTCGCGACGACTACGCGTACGAACGTCTCCATCGTATGCATGACGTTTATTCCATGTACAAATGCCACACCATCATGAATTGCACGAAGACTTGTCCTAAGGTATCGGATTTTGTTGGACAGAAGCATTAATCCGGATGTCTCGCGCTGTTCGGGCTCCTCCGTAATCCTCGCACTAGCCCACTGGACCGAGCTTTACTAGTGGTATCATAACTACCCTATTTGAAAACCCATTATCCAGAAGTGATAACATCTCAGTGTTTAAACTCATCGTGGACATTACGGATTAGATGAAGCGGTACTTAAAAATGAGTGAATTCAAATAAATAAACAAATAAAGGAGAGATCAAGAATATCCCAAATCAAAATTTGGTGGGAATAATTAAAAATGTGGTTCTCATGTGTAGAATTCTATAACATATTGAAATGGATTTTTTTCAGAAACTGAATCCTGCGAAGGCAATCGGAGAGCTGAAGGCATTACTCACAGGTTACAAGATGAAGCCCGCACCGGAACCAACTCCTGCTAACTTCTATAAATAGTCATCCGAATTCCTGCATGGTTATGTGTGTTTGTATCGCTCCGCTGTCTTGCATATCATTTGTTTTGATCCTCACAACATTACAACTTTCGTAGTGTTGTCCATAATTACGAGTACTAAGTTTAGTGGTATCAGTCTGTCAAATTACGATACCCTAAAACCTTTATTTTACCGGTGTAAGTTTACGGTTGTTCAGAGTATTATTTATTATGGCTCTGCAGAGTAATAAATTTTTTCACAGAACTCGTATGTGAAGAGAAATTGCATTGATTCTGGCAGCGTGTCAGTTTACACGCGTCTCTGATATGTTTGCTGTTTGTTTGTTTGGCCGTCGCCTGTATATCAACTGCCCCACAGACGTGTTGATTTCTCAGGGCAATGGGTTCATACACTTCCAGCTCTCTTTGCCAGTCGGCTGTGCAATGATTGAGGAAGAACGATTTGATGAGCGCCAAGAGGCTGGCGTTCGATAAGATGTCGGAGGTAAGCTTCTTAGGGTTCTCTCTGTGTTCTCAATCTCAGTTACTGCTAAATTTTGCCTGCGGAATCGCTGGTTATGATATCTAGACGGAAAGTTCGGTCTCAATGAAATGTACTTAATGAGTAGGCGGGTCAGAAGCTCGCGCGACTGAAAACGTGACGGGTGCATGTGTTTCGCAATCTCACGTGACATGAAGCATGAAGCTGTACTTACGCGTCCCAGTGTCTGAACGCGACTGAATGGAAGTCGCTGATTTCACAGTGGCCCCACTGTTCTGTTCAGTAGCTGTGATTGTTTTGCTAGTTTCCATGTAATGTCCCCACAATTAATCAGGAAGTCCGATTCTTATTTTAAAGATCAGGTAGCTTACTAAAAATCAGCTTCATGGCGAAGGAGGAAATGCAAAGAGATATCGACTCTCGATGCCTGCGACCGCTGTTCCTTCGAAGTACCGCACCGATGGCGAGATGGGGTATTCCTTCCCAGAGAAAACGCTGCCATAGTAACTACTCCGTGAATCCGGAGCTTGAACAACTCCCTGAATGAAGAGTTCATTCCAAGCAGTAGGAAAATTGTGACTACCATGTTGCATAGGAACTAAACTAACCAAGAAGCTGGGCAAAGAGGTAGTAAGTACTTTCAGAGTTGCTAAACAATGGCCAATAGCACAAACTCTGCTCGAAGATGATCACTAAAGAAACACATACCTTTTCATGCAGCCAGATTTGTTCTTCACTAGTTTTAACCATTAACCAACATTTGTTCGATCCCGTCTACAGGAGTGGATTGGTCTGAACGGTGGTATTAATCGATGTGTTAATCAATAACGACCCGTCTTCTATTGAATCAAGCTACGGTGCTTTTTTAAATGCTGCTGCTTGTTAAACTACGTAATCATTACCAGTAGAATGGATCGGTACTTGACTAAGCTCCCTTACCTCACTAGAATTTTCCAAATTTTATAGAACCCCATTAAATATTCATACAACGTGAGTCGGATTGCATTTTGCATGAGCTGGCACTAGAAATGTTGTTCCGTCGATCAATCGAAGTGCAGAAAAAGGGCCTCTCGCTGCATACCGTACCCTTTCAACATTCACGAGTTTCATCGTTGTAGAAATAGTTAAAATTGTCGGTTTCACCAAGCTGGCTAAGTAGGCTACACTTGCCATTCGTTTGGAACAGGACTTTAATGTTAACGTACCCTTAATTAAGATTTTCATAAGATTATATATTTATGTTTAAAACTCGTATTTTCACGCGCACTGTATGCACTTGCACAGCGTCAATTGATCGTTGGGCGGAACAGAGCTCTCTTCATTCATCTTAGTGCAGCTGCCCTGTTGGGATCCTCACGTTCCTTGACGAAATCACGTACTAACTTTCATACTTACCCGTGACCTATTCATGAAGTCTCCTATGAGTTAGCCCGACGACTCTCTTGCAGAAGTGAATGGTAAAAGCTTATGTTGCTCTCTTTTGGCTTCTTATTGTGTCGTTCTTCTGGAGTCTCAAATTTCAGCTTTCTTGTCATTATCCCGGTGATAGAAGCTCTCTTTTCTCTGACTGCGAAAGGTTTTCGTCGCTTAAACCTATAAAAGTCTGTGTAATCTTTACCCGGCTGCCCCAAGATGATTAGGAATAATGGATGTTCCAAAGGCCGCTGTATTAACTAATCTATAAAGTACAGATGTATATTGATGTATATTGTAAAATACCCTCTATCCTCCGTTCCTACCCTCTAAGCTGTACATCCACCCTTGGCCAGTATAACCTACTCTCCATGTAAATTCCCTGAATATCGCTATGGCTGCATTAAGTTTGTGTTGACATATTGTGAAGGCGTTTTACGTTAGTCCCATCACGCTTGCGGTGGATCGATCGGTAATCGATAATCAGACTGTAAAGAAGGGGATGTAATCAACGCGAACGCACGTCGACAATGCGCCCACGCACACTCTGAATGCGGCCTGAGCGCGCTGAGCACGTCGTCGATGCTTGGTCCCTTCTCGGCCAGTCTGCTCATTCACATCAACATCGCCCTATTTACAGCCCGTCGAGGCGACGCAAAGCCGGGACTGCTGTACTAATGCTCTTTTCTGGATTTCGCCATCATCACTTTGTTCAGAATTTCTCAGGGAAACTTCTTGCGCCGTTAGCTTCTCCCTTTCCATCAAACCCGAAAACATTCAAGCGCGAACCAATCCATTCTTTCTTGATTGCTTTCCACCAGATGGGTGTTCTATGAATGCTAGCCGTCTGGTAGGAATGAGCTCGCAATCGCAACATTGATTGCACACTGTTGAAATTTAGACCGTTGGTACATGCGCGGTTGATAGCAAATCATGAGTAAAAGTTCTTAGTTGTTTTCTGGTACATTCAGTTCACTGTTGGTACTTCAGTACTTTTAGGACAGTCTGGACAAATGCGCAGTGCGCGTATTGATTTTCCTCACGACCACCCGCAGTTCCCCTGCCATGCATGGGCCCTGCTGCCTTCTCCTCAACTTTCTTCTTTCTTCTAATGTCCTCCTCTATTCAAGGAATTGAAAGCATCTGGTCAAAGATTCCATTCCGACTTCATCATGCCCACACCAATCGCTATTGCGCGGTGTGGGGGCTGTGTGCAAATCGTTACCATTGATTTGATATTATTCTTCTTTTTTCACTTCTTGGAATCCGGTTCTCCTCACGTACTCATTCAAGAAGATTGCACATGGGGCTAATTCGTATGCGACTATCCTGCCATTAATGATTAATTACCTAGTAGGAGACTAACCTAGGCAGCGGGTGGACTTTAGCATACACTTAACTGATTTGTTGTTAGTAAGGAAGTCGTTTACCATGTCATAGGGATCTTTCCTTTCGAAAGGGTCCAGCTCAATAGAAACTGGTGTCCAGCAATCTTTCCAGCATTAGATGCAATGATTTGTATAAAATTCTCGTATTTTCTATGTTTTTCTCTTTGTCTGTTGACGATTAGGACTTGAAACAAGCCCGAAGCTAATTATTTCTCACTGACGGGTGCGATTTTCAGGATGTTGGCTCGTTCTTTGACGCTTTCACGCGGTGAGGTAGTTTTGTACGCAAGTCGTGCATTGTCAACGTCGAAACCGACTGGTAAAAGAGTGAAGACTTTTGAGATCTACCGTTGGAATCCCGATACGCCATCCGTAAAGCCTACGTTGAAGGTATAAATGCATTTGTGATTCGGTTGTACTTTTAACCTTCACCACCAAAGAGGGCGCTCAAACGATTTGCGTTACACATCGTCGAGACAACGAGTTGTTCGGGCTCTCCTCATGGTTGCTTTTTAGAGGGGCTGACAAGGGTTCATTCCGAGCACATTTATCTAGCAGGCATAAGATAAAGGGTAGTAGACGGAGTAGAAGCTTGACTTAATTCGGCTTCCTCAATGGGGTCACGGTTTAAGCTGCTCTTCAAAAGACTTGTTTTTCCAATTTGAGGGGAATTTGGCAGGCAGATGCATAGAAGTCGGTTCCTCGAATTCCCTAGGCGCTTGCACTTTTTTCAGCATTCTCTTAGAGAGACCAAACACGACCTTCCTGTTTTGATGTCCCAAAATTACGTTTGACAATAGATTGCAAATTCCTAATTCACCTTTTTCGAAGTCGAAATGAAAAATAATGGAAATATTTTTATGTTGATTCGAAAAAGGAAGGGAGCCTCCATGTGACTCATTTTCCTTTACTTTTTGAGATGATTAATTTTAGAAATACGATGTTGACCTCGATGATTGCGGTTCTATGGTTTTGGACGCTCTTAATAAGATTAAGGATGAACAAGATCCCACGCTAACCTTCCGAAGGAGTTGTCGTGAAGGTAACGATTTCCGGTGTTCTTTTTTTCGTGTTTGTCATGCCGAGTCATCGCAAGATGGACTGAAGTTCACAGTGAGGTCGTAGCGCTGTTCCTAGTCACATCATATTCGCTCCTGTTATTGCATTCTCCGATTGCAAGCAAAACATCTCGCACATTTTGCTTCGAACAAATGCCTCGTTGAATTTATGGAAACTTTTCTTGGAAACCTAAAAGCAAAGTTTTAACCGAAAACCAACGGTTGTAGGGTTTCGTAACAGTCACTACCACATAAAACATTACACTTCGCATGAAAGTAGCCTTTGGATATGGCTCTAGTGTGAGTTTTCAAGTCTCACGCTAGAATTTAGTCTACTCATGAACTTGAAGTAATTCTATCATTTTAGAATAGCTACAATCATCTCTTTCAGTAACAAATTTCAATTTTGCTTACACTTTAATTCAGGAATCTGTGGCTCATGTGCAATGAATATTGATGGAGAGAACACCTTGGCATGTATCAAGAAAATCAACACAGATACGAGTAAATCTACTAAGATCCACCCTCTGCCGCATATGTATGTTATGAAGGTGAGAACAAGATAGTTCTTCTTACCACAGCTTGTACACAAGGTAGTTGAATGTCTTCCGTAAAATTCTAACGGCCGATTAGTAAAAAAAAATATGGGGAAGATCAACAGGTGCAGGTCTTTCAAACTGCAGCTTCTATTTCTCCGTTAGAGAATGAGTCAAGACGAATCGCAATAGCTTCTCGGAAATCGTTCTACGGAGTCCTACTTAGTTGTACCCTGACCATATATTTCCAATCAGCAAAAGAGGAAGGATTATTGCAGGACTAGCTGAAGATCCTGCTTGCGTAGCAATCTAGTTTTTGCGAAGTGGGCGTGTTGACAGCTCCCCACTCAGATTTTTGTAGCCCTTACAATATGAGCCTTGAAGGCCAATATTGAGTTCAGTAAATTCGTCGTCTCACTGAGTCTAACAAAAATTCATTCAATTCAGTCATAGAAACATGAAGATTCTGCCTTCGAAGTCTTCGGTAATCTCAGCTATCTGTGCCGGTACCTCCTTATCATTCAAATATTTATCTACTTATTTATTAGTCTATTAAACCGCAAAAGGAAGCTAGCTAGCCGCATGCCCGAATATTTGAAGAAAGGGAAGGGAAAAAGGGCTTCATTTTAAGCAGTAGAAGAAGCTTGTGAGCTTGTTTTACTACAACGGTAAGATGAATAAGGCGTTGTGGAATAATGATGTTCCGCAGTGAACTTGTTGCAAACAATTTCATTAAATACTCAGGAAAGCAAAGTGGGGAGTACTTTGGGGAATAGTTTTCACCATCTCGCGCGTTCATCAAGCAACCAGGCCATATTTTCAGTGATAAATCCATCTAGGAAATCTCGTACTCAGGCTATTCCTCTCAAGAAGGCGAGCAAACTGTCACGATCTTCTTCGAAAATCCCCGAAGTCACCATCATTTTCAAGATTCGTTAAGTAATCGAAAATTTGTTGTTCTCTCATCTGTTCACATTTTTGGTAGCCGAGCTGGCTCATACATCATCAAACCATGTGAATGTCCGCATTAAATGAATACTTTTCGGAACAGATTTGGCATTTAAGCTTTCAATAGTTGGCGATAGCCCTGATATGTAGTGACCAGAGTGTTTTTATTTCGAATTTTTCATATTATAAAACAACTATTCAAGATGAAGTTCTCGTTTTCAGGATCTCGTCCCTGACCTGACGCTATTCTTTGAGCAGTACAGATCCATCCAGCCATGGCTTCAGAAGAAGACGCCCCTCAAATTGGGTGACAAGCAGATGTTCCAGAGTGAGAAAGAGCGTGAGAGATTGGTGGGTTTTTAAGTGATTGCATTTCAAGGAATTGGTAGAAAAGAAATCATCAAAACGGAAGTTATAGGATATGCTCTATGAATGTATTTTGTGCGCATGTTGTTCCTCATCCTGCCCTTCATACTGGTGGAATGCTGACAAATACCTTGGACCGGCTGTACTCATGCAAGCTTACAGGTACAATCACTTTTAATGTCTAAGCTATGCAAAAAAAAATTCGCGAGTGAGAACTTGTGAGAAAATAGACAGATGAGAACAGTTTGTAATCAAGCAGAAATATGCGCCACTATTCGACTGATGCATCATTTTTGATTGTCGCTCATCGCTCGCTTTCAACATTCGGTTGGAAGCTGAAAATGTTTCGAAATAAGAATAAAATCGTTTGGCAGTTTTGTAGGGTTGGGTAGAAAACAGATCAAATTAGAGGTGGAGGTGCTGCGGGAATTAAGTGCCCTGCGAAGTCAGCCGTCGGCAACTCAATTTAAAACATTCCACAGGTTCCTGGTAGTTACAAAGGGCATCTAACTTCGTGCATTGTTTGATGTAAATGTCTCGCCTCAGTTTTCTTCCGAATCTCACCGAGATTGAGCTCGATGATTTTGCTGTTTATAAATCATGGGGCCACAATTTGATTTTGCAATTAGGAAAGTTCATTACTCATGAGTAAGGAAAATCAAGTTGCATAAATCGACTTTTCCTCAAGTATGCTTATAACGTGACTAGGTTTCGCAGAAAAGACTACTGACGATGGTCCCAGATGTCAGAGGAAACTGTGTGGCACAGTCGAAGAGAATAATGTCTAAAAACGGCGCATACGGATATCAAAACTTAGCGAAATCGCCTTTGTTGTTAGGGCCTCCTTCGCGTCCATATCAGTCTTAAACCTAGAGATTGGTATCAAACTCAGTATTATCAGTATTATATGTTAAATTAATAATCAAATAGACTTAAAGGCACCGTTCACGAAAAATTGGTTTCGGAGATTTGCACACGGTTTGAATTCGAAGCCCCCTCTGATACCATTTGGGCAGGAATGGGGTCGGAAAACGGCTGGATAGGGCACAATAAGGCCAGGAACAGTGGGGGACGGGAGGCCTCCGCCCCTCGCTAGGCTGACTACGAGTTCAAATTGTCCTTCACCACTTTCGCTTTGGAGCGAAGTTGGTGAAAAGTCGATAAGCTGGTTGGCCAATTGCCAGAGACGCAATGTGTTGTCTGCTATTGCAGACAACACATTGCGTCTCTGGCACTCGTGCACTCGCCCGAACCCT